AGTTGGGATTTTAATTATAAGAATAAAAAATAAATAATTTGTAATCTATTAAATATATTGGGTTACAAACAGAATTAAAAATTTCAAATCATTTTTATTTAAAAAAATTCTAAAATTTAAAATCATTTTTTCAGAATCTTAATGCCAAACAAAGCCTTAAAGTGTTTGGTGACAAGTTTCCAGAATACTTTTAGCCCGTTTATTAAGAAAGTATTCAAAAAATACTTTTATGAGCAGAATATCAAACATTAAATTTTTTTTTATTAAGCACTTTTTTCTAAAATGTTTATGATCAAATTACTTTTGCTCAAATCACTTATTTCAACTCATTTCACTCCTTTTAAAATGAATCCCTAACGCGACTTTATAGTATTTTTTTATTCTTATTGAATGTTTTTTCACTTGAAAATTTGTGTAATTATTTTAATTGCTCTAATTATGTTTTTTTTATAATTATATTCAATTGACTACATATTGAAAATCAAAACAGTTATGTAGTTTGTATACTGACCGTTCTTTGAATGAATTTGGTAGGCGCATATTTGTTCATAACTCTCTTTCCAGAACAGGCTGAGAAGTTGCTTCAAATGGCACCAACAAGTTAACCATTGTTTGAACATAAACCCTTTAATTTAATTTGATTTCCTAGACACATATTTCTTGTAGCCTTATTTTTTTTTAGTAGTTATCGTTAATATCTCTTTTTCCTGTCTCGTTCTCCGATCTCATATTCAAAATCACCGCCTTAGTCGTTAACCTAAGCGTAATTTGAGTGGTTAGACATTAGTTCATCTCTCTTTAAATTGTTGGTTAGACATTAGTACCTCCCGTTGAACATTAGGCCAAGTTTCAATTTGGCTCCTATGGTTTCAAAAGTTTCGGTTTAGTTCAAAAAGTTTGTACTTAGTTTCAATTTTGTTCATTTACTTGGGTTTGGTTTTAATTTAGTCCTCATAGTTTTAAAAGTTTCAATAGGTTCTATGAAACCAATTGACAATGAGAAGAGTAGACCATATTTATTATAAACCATTGTTAGGTAGGTCTCTTTTCTTTTCAATGTGGGATCTTTAACAATTAGAAAGTTTTTAGGTACAACTTACATATGTTGTATTTTATAATATTCTAATATTTGTCTTAATATGTGTTGATTGGTTGGGTTGGATTGACGTAATTCAGGGGCGACCTGATAAGATATTGTTGGGAACGACAAAAGAAAAATAGTTTTTACAAACATTAAATTGTTAATTACATTTTAAATTAATTTCATTTTATTATTGATAACGTTTCAATTAATTTTAACATTACATATTAATTTCATGAATTAATCTTAAAACTGTTTTCTTCTTTTCTTTTATATACCTTAGGTCACTCCAAAAAGATAGAAGTGATTTCATTTTGGGTTTTTCTATGATTTTTCTATCAGAAATTCTGAGCGTGTTCTTCGATTCCATTCGGCTCCGATGAGTGCACGCCTGAGTTCGAAGTTGTGTTAACTTTGAGGAACAATCGATGAGAAAATCCCTATTTTTTACGATTCGAATTCTCCTTATCTAAGGAATTCAAAAGGAGAACAGATATCCTCATGGTCTTAGGATTTCCCATAGATTAATATATCTTATATTCGAAAGGAGAAATATCCTAATGGCCTTAGGATTTTACCCTATAAATAGAAGCTAAATACTCATAATGAAGGTATGTTACAAGTCCTTACTATTTGCTATGCCAAAATACTATACTCTCCCTACTAGACTACATCGACTCTGACTTAAGCATCGGAGCCTGTGTGGTAAGAGCCACACCGGTCTTTAGTGCTCTTTTGTTTTGTAGGTCTTGTCGATCCTTGGTGCAAATTTGGCGAAATCCCAGGAGGCCAAATTTATCAACAGATATAGCATTGTGGTCGTGCCGAAATTGCTTTCAACGCAGTGGTTTCGTCCACGACACAATAATTTTTTTTTATATCTAAAATTCTCCTCTTTTCATCAAAATTCTTCTTTCTATCTATTCCGACAATTTGAAAGCAAATTTAGGAGCAATTTGATGAAAAGAAATCTTAGCGATTTTATAAAAAAATTCTGGATTTGCTGCTGTGGCTGTTGGAATCAGACGTTGTCGTTATGGGTCCTGAGTTTGGAGAAGTCGCCAACAGTCAGATTTGTTCGTCAAAGCTTCAGATCGAAAAATCCAGTACCGAAGTTTATATTATATATATATACACAGACACACACTGGAGCAGTCCAAATTTGGTTCGAGTTTGTTATGTGTACACGAATATGTTCATCGAGGTCGGGTCACATCTCGGTTCAGATATACTCGTGCCTCTTCGTGTTTACATCTTAATAAATTACTTGGATCTGTTTGAAAAGCCGAATCTAAGTTCGAGACATCGGACGAACACACCACATCATCGTCGGATTCATGGTGCCTCAGATCTGGGTCGTCTTCTTATGCAGTTCGAGTCACCGGTTGCAGATCTGGAACCTTGTCATCGAATTCGGGGTGCCTCAAATATAGGCAGTCTTCTTTGCAGTTCGAGTCATCGGTTGTAGATCTGGAACCTCGTTGCTGGTCGTGCTCATGGATATTCCCGACGTCGATGATGATATTCCGCCAGATGAGAAGAAGATTGGGAAGAAGATGGATCTTATTTTCTTTTCTTTTCCTTTGAGAAAAAGAAAAAGAAACACTACAACAATTGTCAACCTTCAATGTCAGTTAGTCATTTATAAACAATGTCAGTTGACCAAATGATGTCGGTTTTATGGTGAGGCGTCTTATTTTCCGATAACCGACATTAAAAAGTTTCAATTAATGTCGGTTGGAAAACGTCATGGTAATAAAAGAAAAATAGGTGCGCACGATTCGTTTAAAAAATGATGTAATTTGGGAATTGAAAACCAGCTTCATTTGCATTTTAATTTATAATTGACATTAAATGTATTATAAAATGTCGGTTCACAACCGACATTAAAAGCTTAGAATTAATGTTGGTTTATAAATTTAATGCTAGACGACATTAAATCGTGCGCATTTGGGTTCAAAACGATGTCGTTTTAGTTTTTATTTAAGATTCTCGCCTGCTATAATAAAAACGACGTCGTTTCCTTTAAAGGAAAACAACGTCGTTTGCTTTTAATTTTGTTTTCCCACCCACTTTATTCAAAACGGCGTAATTTTGCTTTAAGGCAAACGATGTAGTTTTGAATCAATTGATATAAAACCTTGAACAACCACGAAATGACGTCGTTTTGTTCCCTCGTTTTAAAAACATTAGGGTTTCAAAATGACGTCGTTTTGAAACCCTTCAGCCGTGACGCTTCGCGTTTTAACCTTCCAGCCGTGACTCTTCCGTTTTCATCCAGCCCCAACCCTCCGAATAAGCCTCATTTTCGTCTAGCCCCTCTCAAAAAAACAGTGTGTTTTTGTCCCTTTTTGTTTGTCCCCTTCACCAACCCCAACGAATTTTTTTGTTGTTATATTTTGAAAAACAGTGTGCTTTTGTTGCATTTGAGCCATAAGTTGAAGTCTACGGATGCCCCACCTTACGAAAAGGTTGTTGTCGTTTTCCAAATATCTTTATTTTACTATCCATGAGGTTAGTATTATTTTTCAGCCTTATTTTATATGTTTACCATCTATTTTAGTTATATTTTACTGATTTTTTGGTTGTGTTCGTGACTATTGACGTGGATTGACATTGAAGTCGTCCTTGTACTAATTAAACCATTCTTTGACCTGGGTCTCCCAAGATTGTTCATATGGAGTTCCATCTTTAGGTGTAACTAAAAAACTTTGTCTGATATGGTTGGGATTTGTCAAGAATATCGAAGAATGCAATAAACCTGATCGAGTAGAATTGCCATTAAAAGTAAAAATTTTTTTTAATGTTTAATATAATTTTGTTCATATGTAAATTTTATGATTGATTTATATCTTGTTTATTTTGTTTGAAGGAAAAACTTGCAAACGATCATTAAGGTCAATTGAAAACATTGTTGTCATTGACACACTGTTCAATTGAACAGACACAATGTATGATCCATGGAGTTCTATTAGGAAATGATAACGTCAAGGTCACTATTGATGTCATCATTAGAAAAGAAGATTTTTGTATTCGTATTCCAATCGAGGGTGAAGTCGAGACCCTTCACCAAAAAAATGGTTGTCTTATTGTGTGGCCTTGTAAACTAGTAACAGTCACAAAGACGACAATGTATTTTTTTTTCTCTTCGCTTAAATGTGACTGTAATCTTTTATATAAATAGTTGTTATATGTCATAATTATATCACATTGTCTTAATGATAGGGGTCTAAATCGAAAGCAAAAGGCATTTCGCATTCGTATCCTGGTTAGGTGGATGTTCCTTCTTCGATAAAATCTTTGTATCGCCTTGTCCAACGTACTATGGAAGCTGATGCTTACGTTCAGGTCGCCATCAGTGCTCAAGTATTTGGCTAATGCAAGGAAATACCTCTCTTTCGAGATGATATTATGCAATTTTGTAGGATGGTTTGGATATATCAAACACATGCATAATAATATATATTGCGTAAGTGATTATATATTCTTCTATACATAATGTTATAATAATTGTATTATCAATATTTTTTTAGACTAAAAGTCTTACGTCTTACATATATCTTTGGAAATGTTTTGAGGGTACATTAAGCGCGACATGTTTAAGATAGTGGACCCATTTGAAGTTGCGAAAGAAAGTTATTCCTCACCAGACGAACATGAAAAAAATTCGGCTAACATTTTCGCTTTAGGACAAACAAGCCAAAAAATAATGATACCTTACAATAGCGGGTAAGAAACCATGTTTTTTAAACTTTGTGGTTATCGTATTTATATATTACGTTGATTTTAACTTTTTTTTTTCCTTATAGGAATCATTGGACATTATGTATTGTTGATGCGCATAATAATATGTGTTTATGCAAGAAATTGCACAATGCGGATTTTACGAGCTTAGCTCGAACCCGGTCAACGGCTCGACCTGAACCCACGAGTGAACCTGCACAAGAGGGCAAACTCTCCGACGCTCAAGTCAGTGTAGGTCGGACTCAATATTAAGTTCGAGATGAGATTCGATACCTGAACATAAAATGAGGCCCTCTATTTATAGGTGATGGGTCCGACAGTGCTTACGACCAACGGTTGCCTTTGTCTTTTTTATGTCGAACCTGTCGGGTATGAGCAGATCGAACCCGTCCAGGTTGAACCGAGACTTTTACACTTAGCCTTGTTTATGGGCGGACCCGATCTCCCCGACAGGTTCGAGGTGGACCTGGGATGCTTCTTTTAATGCCTAAACACCAATGAGCGTCCACCAAGTGTCCAGGGTATTTTTATCCCCAAACATTGGCCCCCTTTCTGTCAGGTTCGATCTCGATCTGACAGAGAAATTACCCGACTCAATTTTGGACACGTGGCGACTTTTAATTCATAGAGAAAATGTGACCGTTGTGGAAGATGTTTCGATCTGCCAGGTTGTCGGAGCAGTCAAGTATTTCGTCGTTGCGAATTTCGAGATAATCCTAGCCGCTTGTTCATTACACGTGTACGGCGTAGAGGTTTTTCCCATTGGCTATAAATAGCTTCGAATCTTCAGGTCTAACCTTACGTTCTCTGAATTTTTAGAGTTCGATCTGAAACCAGCTCGAACCCTCCATAGGTCAATCACTCTCCCTGTTTTAATCTTTATTTTGAATATGGTAGTCTTCATGTCTTCCCTCTCCAGTAGTGATAGTTTAGGTAGCGCGGTCGGACTATAAGCAGTTCGCCTCCTAAACCAAGTGACTCAGGGGAGGACTTAGCTCTTAGGTTAGAGTCTGAGCTAGAAGAGCTCACTTCCACCTCGGGCCAAGGTTTGGAATACCCTTCAAAAATGCCTGAGCACTATCTCGGACCCCTCCGTAGAGGGTTTAAAATTCCAAACGACATCCTCCTTAGAATTCCGGAGGAAGGGGAAAGAGCTGACAATCCTCCAGAGGGATGGGTCACTCTTTATTTAAAAATGTTTGAGTACGGCCTCAGACTTCCCCTTCATCCTTTTGCCTAGGAGTTCTTAAATCAAACTGGATTGGCTCCTGCTCAAGTGTCCCCCAACAGATGGGGTGTCATTTTTGCTTTGGCCATCCTTTTTTGGTTACGGGCTCGAGAAGTGGACGAGGCCAATCTGCTAGATGTTGAACAGCTTCTAGGGTGCTTTGAAGCTAAAAGGATAGCTAAGAAGCCAGGTCGGTACTACATGTGCGCAAGGAAGGGCGCGTGTGGTATAGTCAAAAGGCTGACCTGCATCAAAGGATGGGTGGGGAAATGGTTCTTTGCCTCTGGAGAGTGGCTGGCAAAGAACGAGTCAGGTTGTCCCTTATTTGACGTTCCTGTTAGGTTTGAGAATTTATGTATGAGGTCGTTATAATTATTTTTGCAACTTTAGATCTTTCTACTCTATCTTTCCATATCTAACTTTGAATTCTTCTTTGTCTTGTGCAGTGTCGATCAGACCAATTACCGAGCTCACTCAAGCCTCCGTC